GGGGGGGCAGGCCCCCCAGGACCCCCCTAGCTACGCCCATGTTGCTTGTGTTGCAAAATTTCGGAGAGAAGGCGGAACTACACATCTTTTTTCTAGTCAATAAACGAAGGTAAGATTTGACGGGAAAGGATCGGAAAGGACATAGTTTTTTAAAAGTCTGTGGGAGAGGCCTTCCGGATCCTAACTGATACGTAATTTATCCTACGTCGCAATCATCACAGGGGTGGTAAGAATATAGATCCGGGTATGCATGTTTTACCATGAAAATACTTTTCATATGATAAGTAATGTATTTTCTAGCGACTTGTCAAAGTTGGAAAAAAAAATTGAGAATCTGGGAGCAAAGGCTGCTCTTTATGACTATGCAGTATAAAGATGATCTAAGGGATAAAAAAACAACCGAGGAGATAAAATTTGCTCGTTTTTTCCTAATTTTTAATGTTACTAGCTCACATATTATAATCGTTGCATAAAAGGAAGTTAATGGGAAAATTATTTTGAGAAGTGCAGAAGGAAAAACACAATTGCTGCATGAAATTTCAAGGTTTCGCAGCTTTGGACGACTGAGTAAACTTTCCTGCAACTTACGTGTTTTCCTGATTTTCCAAGTACTCGTCACACGGTATCGCCATATTAGGATTACGGATGGTGAAAGTATCAAGAATGCATGAAGATTAATGGGTCTCGTTAGCGAACGGTTGAAAGCATGACAGTGCGCCTTCAAATGCGTGGTATCTTAAGCAACGATCTTCTTGATACAACTATTGCTACTCAGTGGTCTAATAAGTCGCATACCTTAAAAATGAAGGCGCATCTTTCGTCCGCGCGTTTCGTGAGTTAGATACGGGATCGTCTTCAAATCGCGGCGCAATTTCCCCAATATTTTTAACTCCTATAGTTGAGAGGCTTGGAGGACACAGCGCATAAGTACAGTTTATACTATTTCAAAAAAATACACGTTTGTAATGTCGGAATTACACGGATCCTTATGGCGGAAAAAAGTTCAAACTGACTTTTCGATGCTTAAAAATTGGAATTTGAGAGCGAATTTTTCACAGAATATGCATTGAGAATAGTTTTGCGCGAAATCATGAATATCGAAATTATTTCAGAAATTGCACTTATGCGCCTTGTCCTCCAGGGCCCTCAGTTTTTCTCAAATCATTTCCTTTTCTTAGGGAGATCCCACAATTCCCTCAGGCTTTAAATTGAAAGACTGAGCACTGAGGGAGCCTAGGCGAGTGAAGAAGAGAACACAGCCTCCTCTCGTGACGGTCCCACGTATTCAAATCCAAACCTTTTTTTCAATGATTGCATGACCGAGGGACAGCGGCACCGTAACTCGACAAAACATTTCCCGTAAATGAATATCCATTGAGAGGCGGCGAGAAACTGCCCTGGAGTTTAAAATTTTTCGCTCCTCTGACGTAAGGGCGTATCTCGATCTCGACGTGAGCCCTGTTCTTCATATAACTCTACGCTTCCTCGGGCTCATATGGAAATATAAATGCGCCCTCATATGAGAGAAGCGACGAACAGCAGTACTGCCGTGCTAAGAAAGAACGCCGTATGAGCCTTCAGGCGTTGCCAAGTTTCATTCGATAAAAACCGAATTTACTGGGAAAATTTTGAATATTTTTGTCCAAAATTTTCAGATAATTTTGTACGCAATTTAGTCTAAAATATCTAAAAATTTTCAAGGAAAATTATGCATAAATTGCGTCAAAAATACATGTTATATCGAAGGAAATTTGGCAACTCTCGAATGTTCATACGGTGTTCTTCCTTAGCACGGCGCAGTACTGCAGTGAGGAAAATTGCATTTTCGGGGACCGGGAGAGACCGCGAGGGTTGATATTCCCGCCGGGGAGCGCGAGGGCGTGGTTTTTGGCGAGAAGATAAATGATCGCGAATCGCTCGCTAAGAAAGAACGCCGGCCGTATGAACCTTCAGGCGCTGCCACATTTCGGTTGGTAAATCACGAATTCTCGGGAAAATTTGTCAGCGTTTTTCTTCGAAGTTTTCATATAATTTGTTCGCAATTTCACCTAAAGTTTTTAAAAATTTCAAGGAAAAATATTCATAGTTTTCCTCAAAATTATACATTTTATCGAAGGAAATTTGGCAACTCTCGAATGCTCATACGGCGTTTTTCCTCAGCACGGCAGTATATCCCGCGTCCGTCGAGGGTAGCGGACGCTCCAATCGCCGCCTCTCTACTAACCAGTCTGCAGAGCCACGGAATGGTCTATTTTCGAAGGTTACATTAGGTATAAACTTACAGAGAATATTCTTTAAAACAGACCATTACCAAAAAAAATCATAATTCCAGTTTCAGAGGGGTACTTTATGAATATTCCAAAACGAGGAACGTCTAAAAATCTTCAAGAATATATTTAGACGTTCTTCATTTCGAAATATTCAAAAAGCACACTTCTGAATAGTGTTACCGATACCTCTATTTTGAGTTTTTTTTGCGATTGAAGCTACCTTCCCCTGACAATTTTGTGCGACAAGGTGTTCTTTTTGGCCAATGAAAACAACAGTTTAGAAATGTAAAGTACAGAAATAAACAATTTATTAATTCAACAATCATTAAAAAAGTGGTGAGTAAAACATGAGGACTATAATGCTCACGGACAAATTATGCTAATAGTTAAAACAGTAATTAAAAATTCATTTGGTAAAGGCACAAAGCTTAATTTAGTTGTGGGACAAAAAAAAGTAAGGATGTTAGTATATTGACAATATTGTTCTTCTTTTTTCTAGAGGTTACTTGGACAAGAAAATGTTATAGTTAGGAATTAAAAGTGGTATAAAATCTTTCTTTGATTATATTCTTCACATAAACATAGAAGTTCAACTAACTCTAAAAAAAAGTTTAGATTTTAATGAAATTAGAGTAACAGTATTAGCAAAAAAGACCACGCTCTTAGCACCATTTTGTCGGTTAAGAACTTCAAAATAATAAAAGCTTCCCAGCAATATTTAATAATATTAATGATATACATACCCCCCCTCTTATTTTTGCCGGGTCTTTAAGGAAACTAGGATCTAGTGCTAAGAAAAAATATTGTGATGAAAGGACTAAATTTTCAATTTGTAGCACTCATCACCAACATATAGGCCTGTAACAGTTATCGCAGCATTGAGAAATAGTATAATTTTCATTTGAAATAATTCTTAAATGCTAATCCTATGATCGTAACTGATGAAGCACAGACCCAGCGGTGCATCTAAGCAAGGGAGGTATTTTCACGATCCATATTTTCTCTTATTTTGAGAAATGAATTTTCCAGATCTCATTATAATATCTTAAAATCAAAGATGCATGTTCTACATATTACCTACGGGTATCTTGAGAATTTCATCCCTAGTCTGAAAAGTGTAAAAGAAGATGAGGGTGACAAATAAAGGAACTGAGTGGCATTTTTGATAAAATTGAGGAGTTATCTTTTATCTCAGTGTTTCCTTCACTTACTCATAAGAAACTGAAGATTAAAGCCAACTTTTTGCCTGAATATTCAAGTAAATATAAAGTTCACCATGTCATGGGCTTTGGTGTAATTTTTCAATTCCAATAAACTTCTCTATAAATTACAAAAAAACTATCTCTCTTAACTCTTTCATTTAGTGAGACTTTACAACAGTGCAATGAACTTACAACTAGACAGGAGGCTACCTACTTTATGTATAAATATGGGAGCATTAGTCAAAAAAGTCCGAGAGAAGTCTATTTGTATCTCGTACAAAAAAAGAGATAAAAAGCTTAGCTTTATCCATAAGGAAGAACTTAGACAATACTAAAACTAGTGAGAAAACATTTACACAAAAACAACTAACACCCTCTTTGGTAAACCATGAATTAATCCCGCGTAAGGCTCAAGACAAAGATAGCACAAGGCTGGGCGAGATAAATTAAATTTTATGAAATCCTGTCTCCAACAAAAATGAATAATCTTACCCTCACTTTCCTGTAGAGGCAGAGTAAAATACTACATTGAAAATTGTACAACTTTGCGGATAAAAAATCCAAACAGAGAAAGTTCACAATGCAGCTTAGTAACATTTTTAGTCCAATAAATCGAATTAGAAACGGTTCATAATTTAACTAGGTAGGTATAACTTTAAGTACACATTATAAACAACAGACTGGGGAATGAAAGTAAAATTCATTACATTGAAGACGACTGACATAACAATTTAGTTAGAAATTAACTTTTTTAAACTGAAAATGGAGCATCTGTCAGCCTGGCATGACTGAACTCTGTAGAGCAGCTACCAAACGTACAGTCTCTGCCCATGCGCAAACTGTCAACTGCGCAGTGGGGACTATACATGCGATAGCTGCTTAACTCGCTAGAGCTGACCCACTGCATAGATACAGGGGTCTTAAATGTTAATTTTTCCCCGCCTTTTTTTTTTTTTCAGAATAAAACTCCAAAAATAAAGTAACAAAAGTCAAACTGCTTCTTCCAAATGAAACATGAGACAAGATATCTTAAATAAAATTCATTGCACATCAAAAATAAATAATAAAACAGGCTAAAAACAAAATTCTCACTAGGTGACGCATTTTTGTTTCCATAGGAATGCTTTTTTGGATAGCACATCACAGATAAGAGTGAAAAAAAGGGACAATGAAGGATGATTTACAAGAGGAGGGGGGGAGTGATACTGATGCATGAAATTCACAAAAACAAATACATGTAACCTTGTCTCAGCAAGACACCTGAGAAAAAAAATTACAGAAAATCTTGGAAGAACATTCTCTCTTTTCTTGTGTGCTGATCAAATATTCTAAACTTGAATAGTTTACGCTCGATCTAAGTAAAAAGATTAGAGTGATATTACTGATTCTACTAAATTCATCACACACCTGTTTAAAACTTAAAATTTAATCAGCGCAAATGAAAAGCTGTGAAACTCAATTGGCTAAGTACCTGACACCTTCAACTTCAGTTAACATTTCAGTTTTCTCCGGAGAAATGTTTGTGTGAAGTTGACTAAGTACCTGAACAGATTTCTTTGCATTGAACTTATTAGAAAATCTTGTCTAAATTTAAAGTATACAATCACAGGATTTAGTATAAGAGAAAATTCTCTAAAGGAAAGGAAACATAGAAGGCCTAGAAAACATAAAAATAACTTAGAAAAATAAACATTTTGGAATGATTAAGACACTTGTGCTGCAGATACAAAGATAAAAAATCTTTGACAAAAATTGGTTTTACAGTCAAAATAGAGTGACGTACATGTGTAGATTAAAAATATTCATTTAGATACTTAAAAAACAACTCATCAGCAAGCAAAAATTACCAATTGAATAATTTTAGTGACATTAGTTAGTTAACAGTATAATTTTAGAGCCTGGCCTTTTAGTTCAAACGTTTTCAACTACACTTGCTAAGCAACGATAATAGGTACTTTAAAGTGTTCAGTACAATTGAAGCACATACTAAATTTTCTCAACAATTTGTTTTTTTAAGTACAAAGATTTATGAACTGTCAGACATATTTTCTTGCGTTAACACCTGAGATTATCAACCACAAAACGCTGTACCTGAACTCATTGTGAGCAAGTAGACAAGTTTTACTTTTGCTGCATAGGAGACTGATTATTTTTTTCTCCTTTCGATCAGTCTTCATGTTCACTTGACTGGTCAATGCTACTGGTCCAGGAAAGAGAGAATCAACCTATCACTAAATTTGAATATTCTCATAGCCTATGAGACATGTACAGAAAATGTATATTTTCGTTGTGTAAAATATCACTTGAACTTTAATTATTTTGCTCCCCCAGGAAAACATTCTTTTCATAAAAAGCAGTTCATTGTTTATCCCTGAATTAAGAAATCTTCATAACTAAAAAATAATTTAAAAAAAAAATTATATTTTCTGAAGCGTGAAACTATCTTCATATCAATACCTGAGGTGAGGGTGGAGATGAGCCATCAATGTTTCTTGAATTTTGCAACTATTTTGCGATATCGCTCGACCATGGGATCATAAATCTGAAAAATCATGATGAAGAGAACATGTAGAGAACGATAATTTTTGTAGCAGATAGAAAAGTGGTCATTCTTCCCCAATTAGGTTTAAATAATTTTCAGCTCATTGATCTAATGCGAAGGGTTGTTCAAAATGGAATACTTTTTTGGTTATAGATATCATAGTTCTTCATCATATTTTTTATTCATCCTGGCTAATCCTTGCAGCTCTAATTTTTATTTCAACAAGGTCAATCACTGATTTTACCATCATGTCAAAATAAGAATAATCACTGATTACGTACTTTGAAAAGTCATTTCAAATCCTGCAATAAACTTATTTGAGACCATTTTTTGGAGAAGGAATCTTAGTCCACTCCCGTGTCAACTCCCTGATGGAAAGTGGGAAGACCGAGTTTTGTGGCGATTAGGTGTCGCAAAGCGCCAGAGAGCGCTATAAACGCGACTCATGTATGTATCTTAGTCCAAAGAGGAAAAATTTTCAAGGAAGCGATTTTTGTCAAGTTGGGTCAAAAAATATGATGATATGATATGAGATATGATATTTGAGATTTAAATTGAAAACTTTTGCAAGGATCCTGAAAAATGAGTTGCAAGCTGTTCTATAGATTTTTCTGCCAATAGAGAATTTATAGTCTGTTCAAGATAGGAAGACGTGGGCAATGGCAATTAGTTGCACTATTTAGCAGAGTGGAGGTGTCTCAGCCCTTGTCAACTATCACTCTTGGCGTTTTGTGCACATCATACAGGAGACTGCAGGCTAGAATGCAGTGGTTTTCCCAAGAGCTTGCGCCAGGAGCATAGAGTTCTCAAAGAATTGTGCAGCGCGCAGCAGCAGACAACTCATGAACAGTCCTCTATATGATACAGGGTTAGTTTGTGGACTTGATCATTGACAATAGCTCGAACATTAACTCGCTTCAACATAAAGCAATTAATTCAAGCAATTTTTAAAATTGCACGAAGCAATTTTCCACGGTTCTTCCTATCTTGAATAGACTGTAGGGTTGCATTAAAGTCCAAAAATTTCATACCTCCAGCATAACAGATCAGAACTTAACATTTCCTTTTTTTGAAACTATATTTTTCCAGCTTCTAGGCTTCATGACTGAGTTTTTTTTGTTGACATTTTTGGGCGTCTTATGCCCCATAATTTTAATTTACCCTGCTAATGGCTCAAAAATTTACATTTTTAACTGACTCAAAGATTAACTGAACATGCAAAATTTGGTTTTCAGAATACTAGAGAGCTTATTTGTTGAGAACTAGAAAAAATATACCAGACAAAACGGTTTCAGAAAATTTACTTATCTTCCTCCTAACAGTCACAAATTTAGACCGGCTAGTTTTCATTTAAAGTGATCTTAAAAGCACTAAAGGGCACAAAATATAGAGATGATAAAAGTAATAATTGATGAACTACCTGTCTAGCATCATGCGATGGGGTACAAACTAGTTTCGGAGCAGGTGCTGTTGAAGTAACATCGGAGAAGGTCAATTCTTTATTTTGGCTTTTCATCAATCCAAATTTGGCCTGATAGGCAGCACCGAGCATAGATGAATTTGAACAATCCTGGATACAAAAAACCAAAACAAATGAAAATTGGGCACTGAAAATAGAGTGAATCAGATAAAATCAAATCCAGAAACCAATGAAAAAGTAAGAGCTCTTGAGTTTTAAATTTCTAAGTAATTCAATTTGTTTACTTTTTCAGGTTTGTTTCATGGCAAAATAATGTTGACCTGATGTAATCTTAAGGTGATTCGATGGACGCCATATTTTGAGTCAGAAAGGAATGCGATATATCGCATCCATTGGTTCCATTTTTTCAGCTACTCATCATTTTTCTCCAATTTTGAGATCGCAATTCTGTTGTCAGGAGACTATAGCACTCACTTACCAATTTTAACAAAGAAATTCAACATAATAAAGGCGTGGTTATTTTAGATAGAAAATATCGCATTCGAGTGCAGTTTCGATATCAGTATCGAATGCGATGTTTCCTCTCTAAAAAAACCACGCCTTCAGTACACTGAATTTCTTTGTTAATATTGGTAAGTGAGTGCTTAAGTCTCCTGACAACAGAATTGCGATCTCAAAATTGGAGAAAAATGCCGAATAGCTGAAAAAATGGAACCAATTGATGCGATATATTGCATGCCGTTCTGACACAAAATATGGCGTCCATCGAATCACCTTAACATCCTTTTTAACTTGTTGATAACCCTGCTAGCCACATGTGACCAATGTGTGTTGTCTGTAAAAAACTTCTTCAGCATGCTGTCAATCATGGAACTTTTGTTTCATCCATATTTTTATTCCTGCATTCCACTTTGTTTTGGACGTTTTGGAAAAAGAAAATGTTTTAGCCTCTTGAGGTTAATTGGAAAAAAACACTCATCAGTCAAAATGAGAAAAATATCCTGCTCAAGGTAGCAGCCAGAAAGCAACAAAGGTTAGAATATTCTAAAGACCCTTGTTTAAGAAAATAAAAAAGATTATCAGATTCCAAGTTGATTTGATGCACATAAGAAAAGGAGAGACCTTGTCTAATATGCGATACATACCAGAATAACTTTTTTTTAAATGTAAATTTCAAAGTAGGTATGATCACCCAACATGAGCCCCTGCCCTAGGGACAAATTCTGGTTACCGAGCAATAATTTTGGGGTCCAAATGGGGTAATAGCTGCTTTTACTTACTTGAGCATAAACAGGAGAATTGAAAACATCCGACAAAACTTGAAGCATAGCTGGATTATTTGATCCTCCGCCTGTAGCAATAATTCTTGAATGTTCACCTAAAATATGCAAAAGCAATGAGATTTTTTGCTTACATTTGCTTTGACACAGTTCAACGAAAAAATTTAGAAAAAAAACAATAAAATAAAATCACGAATATTATCAGTTTGAACAGATGGTTCTGAGTAACCACTTGAAATCATATCAGTTCCTATACGACCTAGTTCTGTCCTGAGACGCCGAATCAGATGCGTCTGACATGAAATTCTACAGATCAACAAAAAATATCGAGAACCAAATACTGAAATTTCTATTTTCAATATTAATGGAGATATCACCCTTCAAAAAACTCGGTGATTATTTCCATCCAAGGCACAAAGGCATACCATAGTTTCTTTCACCTTGGATTTAACTAATGCAGAATTGACAGTAAAATATAATGACAACCACCCTCGAGTAAAGAACCATCGAGAGGGTTCGTACTTTTCTTCTAAAAAATTGAGTAAAGATAATTATTATTTTTTGTCAAGAAAGTTTTTGAAACTATAAATCTCACCAATTGCAAATCCTATATCTTCAGCATGAGCTCGCTTTGCAATGAACTGGCCTTCAACCAAAGCTCTGATCTCAATTTCCGGAGACTGGAATTTAGGAATAGGTTTATCATCTTCATCGTATCTATGCTCTCCTAGAGCCCATGGTATGATCTCTTGGGAATCAAAGTATAATCCTGTAACATAAGGCATTTTGACCACAATAAGAACATTTTTTTAAAAAAAAACCTTCATTTACATGGGATTTCACCTACAAACAATTTCTTTTACAAGAGACTTCCAAATAGAGAAAGTACAGAGATTCCGCAGTGGGAATTCGAACAGACGGGCGTCAGAAAAGAGGCAAATGGAAGATTTTCAATCGTCAGATTCCACTAATGTACTTATCAATAGTAGGATTGGTTTTTCGTGAGATTACCTGAAACTTGGATTTCGCTAGTACACTAACGGAAGTTTTATTTATGGCCGTTCATGATGGATTACTCACGCTTATTGCTCCTCCGAGCAAGTACAATAGCATGTCTCATAGAAAATACCGAATTTTCATCCAGCCCAACCAAATTAAATTCTATTGAATAAAAGGGGCCCTGAATTTGAGTGAAAATCTTCAATTTTTATGACTCGTTAAACCCTCCCTCTTCTTTACTTTTTAGGGTGAACAGCTCACAGTTTTTATTCACATTAAGGGACAAAATGATACTTATAATTCAAACTGGTATCTTGATCGCAAAATATTTGAGAGCTATTTTGCCATGTTTCCTTGCTGCATAAGATAAGGGTGCTGATTTCCAGTGTAAGAACATGTTTCACCAACAAGTGAATGTTTTCACTTTAAGCATATTTTCTATAGAAGAGTGAATGGTTTGGCCACAGGTGAATGTATGTCTGCCGTCATTCCAAACTTAATCATTAAAAAATTTGAACTTGTTGCTAAGAGGACAATTCTTTTTCTGGCTTACATATACAAATAGTCCATTTATGGCAACCTACTCACAGTTAAGAGAGGTGAAGAAAACTCTTTATTGGTGTTTCAAATTTACTGAGTCCAGTAACAATTCACCAATTTGTTAAATTCACCATGGAGGCTGAAAAGGCTAACAAAATTAAGAAACACCAGTAAGTAGTGCCTACCGAAAATCAAGGTCATCATGCACTTCGTTAAAATTAACATTAAAATTAAAATGCATTCTCTTGTAATGCAAGAGAATCTAAAATGGTAGGCATTTGATAAAATAGGCAGACAGAGATTAAAAGAAGTTTTAGCTTTCGAATCGTTACTCGAGACTTTCAACATCCTCGTTACCCAATCATATAGACCAGTCATTCGTTCACTTTTGTATTAAGCTTAGAGGGACCTGAAAAGAACCTTACGTACAAAAAAAAAACTCACCTATGTAACCAAAATTACCACGGGGAGTACAGCTCAGCAGATTATTGAAATTTGACCATGACCCTTTGGCAAGGTGATCCCTGAGTCTAACTCTAGTAAGAGAGCCATTTTTAAAGCTGCAAATCACAAAAAAGAGAAGGCACTTCAGAAATTTTTCTGAAATTATAGATAGTAAAAAATAACTTTTTTCTAGGTATGCAACAAATAATTGAGACAATCTCTCATTTATTTAAATTTAAAATATTCGCGGAACACCTTGGTTAGATATTTTTCATTATTGCAAAGCAAGCAACCCCATAAAAAATCATTGTAAAACTGTTGACCTCTTTAGACTTTCTATCTTAATCCGGAGAGCAGAAAAAAGAACAAAAAATCTCTGTGCTTAAAGGCCAAAGAACTTTGACATCGATTTCACCAATTTGAGAACTACTGAAAAACCATTCGCTAGCTCTATTACCTGCGATGTATTTTGCATTCAAAACCCTATATTTTCAGTCTAGTGTTAGACATCATAACCAGGTTTTCTTACATAAATAGATTCCTTGCTAAGTATGTTGAGAACGCAGATATCTTTATTTTTCTTAAACTGTTAGTTACTTCTCTTGGATCTTAACTACAGATAAGTAGAACACAATACAAAAGGAAACTAAAACAATACTGTGGCTTCAAAAGTTTCGGTAAATGTTGCGTTAGAAAATACATGGTGTTTTAAAAAAGTGTACAAGGGATATTATTTTACAGGAACGATTTTCGAGGTATGTACAGCGTTCCCCCTAATAGAGGATCAAAAAACATCTAGAGATAAAACTTACCACAGCAAAATCATGTATGCATTTTCATCGACTGGATTCACAAGCACATGGCCATCAGGAAGAGTGACAGGTTTGTCTAGCCATAGAAATAGTGTATCACTAGTGCCCAAGCTAATTGCTACATCATTCTTTTTCAGGCACATTCCTGAGAAGAAACAAAAATGCCCTAGAGTCATGACATATATTCAGTGTATTTAAAATTTTTGAAATACATCCCTCCAATAGAATTAAACATTTCTTTCCCCGCGAAATCTATTATCCAAAGCGGCATGGTTGGATGAATGACTGGTAATTGGATACTTGTACACAAAACAAGTCTATCTACAAAAGAAATCTTCAGCAGATAGCTGTCTCTTACATGGATAAGTCCAATTCATTTGGGGATCAATGGAACAATATTTTGAAGAAGTTCTAGTCATACTTGATGAGTGTATCAAACAACTACTTGAAATAACACTACTGTAATTCTAGTATACATAAAGGGGGGAGGGGGGGTTAAAAGTGCAGTGCTGAGTAGCTGGGCAGTAGAGGATTTGTTTGCAAGATATGATCACATTTCATTACTAGTAGACATCTAACAACCACAAGATGAAAATAGGACACACCCATCCTACCCACATGCAATGATATATTCTAATAATGTGTTTTCCTCTGCATTAAGGTTTCAATTTCATAACTATCCTATGAATGAGAAATTACAGAGACTATGAAATAGAAATTATTTGTGAAGGAATGACACTTACCTGGTTAATTTTAATACATTATCTTCAAATTATTTATTCAAACACACACATCATAAACAGCATTCAAATCAAATCAAAATTTGGTTGGACCAAGAAAAATGAAGCAAAAAGCGTTGAACTGGGGAACTTATATACACTTGAGAATCGATTACTCGTTTTACAGCTTGGCATAATTTTCTTTAAGGTCTCAAAATAAATTCATCACACGGAACACAGCAAAAGCATAAAACTGAGCCCTAGCCATGTGGTATTGTCAATAAAGCATTAAGATTGTCAGGTGGAGCATCAAAAAAGCTGAGAAAAAAACAGTTGCATTTTCAAAAGAAGAAATAAGTAGTAAAGGAATAGCAAAAAATTGGGAAAAATAAGCCAAGGGAAAACCATTAGAATGATGAGATAAAGGATGAAAGATGGAATGATTAGAATGAGGGAAAGCCATTAGAATATGAATGGTATTCTTTGGGACCAGACGATATCCAAAGTTAACAAAAAGAGAATTTACAACTCCATCATCAAAAGTATATTGAACTATGACAGCAAGGTATGGCAGTTGAAGAAATGGTCCCAGGACATTCTTCAGACAACTGAGATGGACTACTTGCGTAGATCGGCCGGAGTGTCGAGGAAGGATCATATTCGGAATGAAAGGATATGTGAAATTATGGGCGTCGAAAACAACATAGTCCATGACACTTTCACGAAATAGCTTGTCTGATATGGGTAAGTGCAAAAGGTGCCAGATGATAGGTTGCCTTAAGAAGATTCTAGATTAGGTCTCCCCTGGCAGAAAACATAGAGGATGTCTCGTCGAATCGTGGATTGATGGAATAAGGCAGGAAATGATGGGATGCGATTTGCCGGAGGAGTTCTGGCAGGAACGCTATCAGTGGCAGTTGGGTGTCACAGAGTGCACAGAAGTGCTATAAGAGCGACTTGTTAACAGTAGTAAGGAAAAATAAGTCTACATGCATTTACAAAAATAGCAGTCAGTCTGCATAAAAAAATTTCACTTTTATGTTAAAATAAAAAACAAAGAAGAGAAAATACTTTGATTCTGGTCACTAAATGATACAGTATCCTCAAAAAACTATTAAAAAATAGGAAATTACCGGCTAGAGAGGCAGGATTATCACCCGTGAAAGACACTATTTTTGTGTCAGGATTAAACCCAAATCTCTCCACAAAATATTCGCTGACTGTGCCTACCAAGGAGGAGGATGCTGTTAGTTCTCCTAATTTGGAACTCAAATTAGGTGCGCATGCCTGAAAGAGAGAGCGCTTTTTCAGTTATAGCATTGAGAAGAAAAGAATTTGAGACAGGGAATTCTTCGATAGGCCTGCTTAAAATGTTTCTGGAATTACGTCTTACCGATAAATGGAAATAAAGTAAAGATGGACAAGAAAATTTAAAAATCAAATCAATGTTTTAAAATTACAGGCATGAAGTGCCACTGGGCCTCTGGACAAGATATGAATTCAAGTCATTTGTATATGCTCACTTCTATTTGATCTGCGTTCAAAGTCCTTGTTAATATCTCACTGACAAAATGATTTCTGAACTTCCCATCGTGTGAATTGATTTTGACGTAAAACTTTGAAGAAAAGCCAGGTAATTATTATTGATTCAAACCTTGTCTAGTAGCTTTTTATGCTTAAAAAATTAGCCTTTGACATTAAAAAATGACACATTCTGCCTGACGATAAGTGAATATCTTGTAGTTGCAGATTTATAGTTTTGTTTTGGATAGAGCCTCAAGTTTCTTGGACTCTCAGGTAAAAAGAGAGAAGAATTCATTGAACTCAAAAATTACTTACATCAAGGCATTCCTGGGACCACTTTTTGGATTGTACATCCATTAGATTCATGCCTGACCCATCAGAAAAATCAATGGGGGCATAGTCACCAAGAAAGAGAGAGCATCCAAAACTACTCACAAGAGATATCCGCTGAGAAAAGAACGAAAGATAGATTAGTCAATAAATATTTACTCCACAAGTGACCATCCTAGGGGAAAAGCACGCAAAGGAAAATTTCTTGAGAGAGCAGTTTTTGTCAAATTGAGAGGAAAAGTTAAAATTTGGGTTTTCAAAAGCAAAAATTTGTCAATTCTCTATGAAACGCCCTCTGACAGGTACCCTAAAGAATACATTGCAGGGAAGTTTTTTTGGGTGCCAATAAGGGAAGTAGAGTCCATCATATTGCAAAAATTTTGAACCCACACGTGGCAGATAAAATTTAAAATTTCTGTTCTCAGTTCCACATTGTTTGAATTGCAAACTTTGAATTAACATAACTGAAAGTGTGAAAAGAGTTTGTTAAAAATTCCTTGGAAGAATAACACTAATAACTCCATTTTGATTTAGTCAGCACTAAGGTTTGCTTTCCTGTGAATGTTCATACTTTAAAATGTTGATACCCACAACAAAAATTACCAACAAACCAAAAGTGTTTTTGGCGAATGTTTAACTATTTTTCATTCTGTACATCAGTTATCATGTCAGTGTTCTGATCTTATATATTAGTGAATGAAATGAGTTTTGAAATGCTATGTTACTGGGAATATCATCTTTTGAAAAGCAAGGTGATTGGCATTATCCATCAAAAATGTCTTTGCCATGTTTCACTTCAAATCATTAATCAAAGAAGCATGTATTTGCTTTGGTCGTTTGCTAAACGACACTGATTGGATAACGATGGAAGAGACCTTCATATGTGATACCACAATGAATGACATTGTATGCTAGTTCTTTTAAGAACAATATCTTCATTATTATGAGAAACATTATTATGGTACACCTTGACAGATCAAATCAGATTTTGCTGGTCTTTATCCTAAAACCACCAGAAACCAAATTATTATGAGAATGATGGATTCATTAGGTACTGAAATGAGCATAAAAATTTTAACTCTTAAGTTTTGACAGCCATTTTTCGGGTGGAAGAATTAAAGATGAGAGAAAAACAAATTGCTTATTAAAGACTCACCTCAGTGCCATCGTAAGCAGATGGTTTTGATTCATAAATTTTTCGTATTTGAGGCCCTGAGAAGCGTTCGTAGGCTTTAGACCCAGTGATTTCAGCTAACCTCTACAGAAAAAATTTGACAGGAAGGAAAAAAAAATGATAGAATGGCAAAAGTTGGCAGCTTGCACAATATTTAAGATTAGCGTGGTTTAAACATAAAAACAGTGAATTCCTCTGAAATCAATAAGCTTCAGAGAGAAAGAAATCACCATGATGTCAGCATTTTTTAATAAGGGCAAACATTTCTTACCATGAAAGTACCAACGGTTGTGAAAATAGGCAAGTTTCTTTACACCCCGAGTAAAATGAGAAGCATTGAGGATTGTTCGGATGGAAATATATTCTCATTGAAATTTTGATAATCAAACTTGAGGAAACTTTAGCAGAGTACATTATGAAAAAGTTATTTATATTCTCATCGGTTAGTCATGAAAAGCATTTAAAATAATAAATCGAGCTAATCTCTCAAAATAAAAGGCACCTTTCTGTAACCTTGTCGTTGAGCTGGTGTGCAAATGCATTATTGCAGCACTAATATTTTAGTATTTAGTGATTGGTTAAAAACAGAAAGTATTTGCTAACACCTATACACAAAGCTACAAATTAGAAATTCTGACAGCATAATCTGCTACACATATAAAACAATAAAGTTTCACCAGTCTTTGAATCTCACCATTGAACTTGAAACTTGACACTGAAAAAACTTTCAGTGGTTGCTCAATCAATTAAAACTGAGAGACAGTATTGCAACCAACCACTTCCAATTCACCTTTACTTCAACTTTCAACTTTTACTTCAAGTGATGCTATCAATGTAAAGCAAAAGTTAATTTTGCAGATATTTGCTCTTTTAGCAAAATGATTATTGGTTAGCAATTTGTTGAGTATTTTTTTGCCCTAATAATGACTGGAGAATGATAGATTAAGCAGTTTAAAAACCCAGTTTGACAAATTAGGATTTGTTTATCACATAAAAATTTCGGCACGCAGCTCATCAGTTGTTGGTCGAATGAGAGAGTTAACTTCCTAAAATAACTTTTACACAATAGAGAAGACAGTATTACAGGAGCTGTTTTATATTATCTTTCTTAAAGTTCCTTGATTTGGAAGTTCCTCAGATAAGAATGATAAACTAATCTTATAACAGACAATAAATTATGAGTGGCAGTAGCCACATCCAGGCAAGTCACCTATCCTCCAACAATTGGCAACACAGCACAGCCCGGATGAGGTGTCAACACCATAACTAAACGTGACTAGCTTTTTTGGGTTTTTAGTTGCGGTTCAGTATAAATAAAACAAGAATTACCTCCGGTCCTCCGACAGCTTTTTCCATATCACTGCACTGTTTTGAGGTGTTTGAATCCATCCAAACAGGTCCATAAGGGACAGAAAAACTTGAAGCTAATTGAGTGTAAAGAAAGTTTGATGGATCTAAAGATTTGAGAGTTTTCCTTGCGTTGTTCTGCCAGTAAACAGTCCCATGTTGCTAAAAATGAAAAAAAAATAAATGAAATTGTAGGTGCAACGGAAAAAAATATTCTGGAGGTGAAGAAAATCTTGATGAAATTTTTACTCGGCTTGCGAGCAGGGCCTATGGCAAGAGAAGATACATGCAGGACTACAAAAAAAGTTGGCTTTCAAAAAAGTTACAAAAACTTCAAGATATCGTAAAGAAAGCTGAGTGAATGACCGACAAAACCAATTAGTTTAAACTTCTACTGTATTTTCTTTATAATTTGAGGTAAGTGCAATGCTTGAAGCTAAAAAATACAGAAAGTTCACCAAAAAGCCTCCTCTCAGGAATATAAATTGGCAATGAAGATTCTGCTATCAAGAGATGCCTTTTCTGCATCCAATGCCTTGATTATTTTTGACTGCGTTTTACATGATTAAAAAAAAGACACATTTATCAGCATTTAGTGATTATTTTCTTATTATGTCAGGATCATTTTACTTACTTAAAAAACACTCTTTCATGTAGTAAAATAAATCAGGTAACTCACCTGCCCTGATCCAGAGACTGCTGCCAATTTGCTAAAATCTGCTCCATCTGCTCCTAATTGATCCAATAGCAAATCGAGTGCTTTTACCCACATGACAGTTGGAGCAGTGATATTTTTCGGATCTGAGCCATGAATAACTCCACAATGGGTTCTGAAAAATATTAAAACAAATTTAATGCACACAAAATAGATCCTCTTTACCTAAATTGCAAATATACTGGTGAAAAACGTTACGGAAACACCGTTAAGACGATAATTTTGGCAGTAGCATTGTGATGATGATTAGGGTGCGTTCTAGAATTCATCTTTTTGTGTAGCGATTCAATCCAAATCCATCCAAGCGTTCCTAGGTTCCGTGATTCCATCCAGGTTGATGAATCCAAGCGTTCTTGGAACTCGGAGTGAGTGACTCATGACGTCATTACTTTTTCATCCAAATGCATCCGATCAACCCACCTCAGGAGATGGATTTAGCCGTGACTCTCGGTGACTAACCTCAAAAAGTTCGAATCCCGCCAAAGTAGCCAGTTACTTGTCCCCTGTGAAAAGTTTTTATCATCTTTTATTCATCTAATTTAATAATACTTAGGTAACCTGTCAAGTTTAACTTTTATTTTTCATTAGTTACGATCTAAATACTAAAACGTTACTTTGATCATCATCAAGAAAACAACTGCATTCATCCAAGCGTTCTCTGCGATTCTCATTTGACGATCCATCCAACTCCATCCGTGTCGTCATGACCCACGTCATCTCCGTTCATCTCCGTTTTTTGGATTAAATCCTAAGATGAATTCTAGAACGCACCCTTTCACACCACTTTTTGCCGGACGGGAATGTTAAAGCCTGCAGCTATAATGATGAAAACAAAGAAGCCAGTGCATCTTCATTTAAATTAATTTCAGTTAGGTAAGTACTGCTTCAGGTAGGAATAACACAATTAGAAATTACCTGTATTCTGGTAAAGAGCTGTCAAACTGTACATGCGTTTCGTGGAGAATTTCCAATTTATGGTTCACAATAACACCTTTCAACTGAAAAATACAAAATGAATGATGATAAGTATTTAGGTTGGTTTGAACAAGGTGCACAATTTTTTAATCTACACATAAATTTACAGTCAGAAAGATTTTGGATGACTTTCATGCGAAATAATTTGAGTTAATTTAATAAATGATGAATATGCAAGCTGATTGACATATTGATGGCGTAAGTCAGCAATCACATAACTCGGTTTGCGACGTCGCAGACTTCCTGTCATACATTCTTCTCTGTGCGAAGAAAATTCCACAAAACACTTCAAGGAATGATGTCAATTTGTTCTCCTTTTAAAAAATAACATAGAGGCGGAGATTTTCAGACAAGATTTGTGATTGCAGATTTACGCCACGGATAAACCATAATTTGAGATGTTGTATGCTTACAACTATCAAGTCTAAAAAGAAAAACTAGAGTACCTATATTTAGAAACTAATGAGATTTATCTCTTGAAATATTGACTGCTTTTTTTCTTCATCTTATACCTAGGTACATAGTTGTTAGTAAACAGTTAAAACAATGATGCCCATCAGTTCTTCACAATACCTATTCAAACTAGGTACCTTGAGATTTTGAAGTCATCGTTAAACAAGTACATACGCATGACGAAAAATTTATTTCGGTTGAGTGGGAGGAGGCAAGAGCTCATTCATACATTACAGCCACCTTAAAGTCCTGAGGAAGATTCCTCTAGCAGTTGAAGTAAGTCATTTTTAACTATCCTTGATACTTGACAATCAATCTATGATAAAAGGTAACCACAATCAATTGTAAAGCCAATTTTTCTTGAAACGACCCTTAATAAACATCGAACTTGCAATCGCTTCTTGGGCGCAGCAGTTCCTACAAAGTTCAGAATATTGTTCGCATCAAAAAAATAATTGAACTGATCCTTCAAAGATTTCAGTGAGCATTTAAAGGTACCGAACAAAATCAGCTTCAAGCAAGTTCTTGCAAAGGTTTCTTTTGGAACAAGTCAAATCAAAACGGTGATTAGCAAGACAGATCTTTGAGTTAAGACTCCAGGTGATATGGTCAACTTGATAAAGTTCTAAACCAACAGGACACTATTAATTACTGAAAAACTTCTGTGATGAGGAGTAATAAGCTGCTAGGCTGTATACAAACCATAAAAAATTACGCTGATGATAGTTTATAGTTTCTACTTTATGAACTGAGTTAAGTATAGCAATAAACTTAACATACAGGGAGCCCTATCACATTAGGAATGAGCCTAGTTAAAATTTTAAAAATGAGGTACTTCTCGTTTATAACTTTGTAACTAACCTGTTGAGTGCTAAAATCTAATCCAAGATAAGTAGAATCTTCTTCGGTCACCATAACGGAGGTATTTGAAAATAGAGGGGCTATTTAAATTACCAGACAATGGGGGAAAAAAATTGGACAATTAAAAGGAAAGAATAAGAGCTAAATCACAGCGGAACAGTAACGACTGAACCTGAAATTGATGAGTTAATAAAAATACAACTTCATGAGTTTACGGAGGAGGTTGAACAACTACTGATAAAGAACAGCAGTATGAGAAAGTGAAGACAGCGATCTCAGGAAACCCAACTGTTATCAAAGGGCAAGGGTTCATTTTCCTCGGGGTTTATTTTTTTTATTACTACGATTAATTAGCAAAAATAGTCTAAGTAATGTTCCAGAAAACTCAAGCTTGACGGTGTTGAGGAGCATGATCACTGGGTGCTTGTCCAAAACAACAGGAGATAAGTCAAGTTAGAATCCATCGTGGTAGATGTACTTGCGCTGAAAATACTAATTAATAAAGGCCAATTTCACAGAAAACACGAAAAAGAGGCTGAAAAGCTGCAACTCAGCTGGCTCAGGATCTGAAATCGCACAAGAGATAACTGATAACGATAACCTCAAAGTGTAAACACGAATTTCGAAAACACACAGTGTGCAACGCTGCCAAATGCTACTAACACAGATGATTGGCAATCTTCTCAAGAAATTTAAAATTTCAATTTGTAAATAATTAAAAAAAGATTTGTAAAAATAATTTATGGACATCTGGGTCTAGAAATTTGAGAATGAGGTTTGAATAATGCTTTAAAACTGAGAACTTCCAATGTTGGTGTAAGATACTTTGGCAACGTTGCAGCAATTCATGGCGCGGAAACACATGTGCTTTCAAGTGTGAACCGTGAAGGCTCACGAAGGATTCTGGTCACGCAATCATGGTTTTGATCTGTTGCGCATGACCGCCATCGAGAAGCAGGTTGATCGAATTGATCATCAGTTGATTAAAATGTTAAAACATGCAGTTTAATGATCAAGAACTATAACAAAAAAAAAGCAAGAGCACTTAAAGGGCTGATAGCAGAGCACTTGGGTGCGTACTCAACCAGAAAAACATGCACGACAAATTTGTTTGTAAGAAGTTGCCTTCAGACTTTACTTTTTGAAAGAATACCAACTAGTATTTTTTTATGCGACTGCAGTGCAGTATATAAGAGATTTTAGATTACCTATCACTGCATTCAATGTAGCGGATAAGTATACTTTTAGTTCGAAACATCACTGATCAGGACAAAAGTATGTGTTTTCTCATTTGCCACTGATAGAAATCAGAAAATTTGTAGGGTCAGGATGATACATTTCATTTTCATTCTTTAAACGAAAAACTTTTTCAAAATAAAAAATAAAAATGTCCCATAACAACTCAAAGAGGCACCAGAGCTGTAACAGGTATCTCATCAAAAGTTTACAAATATCTCGGTTAACTTACGTTTCTCTTTTGTCCGATACAAAATCCCCACCGAAATTAGGTAAAAGTTTCTTACTGAAGAAACAGTTAGATAAAACTTGACATCAAAAACTGAAGTTTTGCCAAGCGCCAAGTTATGAATACCTATGATTTAGGCTTGAAAGTGAGTTAACTACAGTGGGCAAAAAAAAAATTGTAGCTATTCGCCTGGAGTTATTGCATATAAGATATATAGTCCAAAATTATTAGGATGCTCTTTCCGTTTCTAGGTGGATTCAATAATAAAATAGATCAATTTATTTTTTTTAAAGAAAAAAATCAATTTATTGAAAAAATTAAACAAACATTTTGCAAGTAGCACACAAAAAATAAGTGCAACAGCTGAGAAATTAAGAAATTTTCAGCTCTTCATTGTAATATTGAAATGCAAAAATTTCTCACCCCCAAAACTCAAGGATGAAAAATAGAGAAAAGGAAATCCTGGACGTTAGTAAATGATGGAAAACAGACTTAGATTTCATACATGATCGAAACCAGAACGTATAAGTAAAAAGGACCCTAAGGATGTCATTTTAAAGACATTTTTGGCTTTGCTGACCACTGACAGTTTTAGAGTGAACAAAGGTGATAATAAACTGAACAGACAGTTGTGAATGAATAAATACAAAAGCTGAGTTGTTCAACAGTTAAAATTGGATTACATTTTGCAAAAAGGAACCATTATTTCTGGTCTATTTTAGAAACAACATACATGCCATTGGTTTTCCTATGCAGATAAGTGCTTTTATGAGAGAGCCAGAAATAGTGGTTCCTTATTGCAAAATGTAATCCAATTATAACAAATATGTATTCAAATTGTATGATAAGTTTTCTTAATACAGCCGGCTGTCCACATAAGGTATACAAATTAATGATCCATTTCCATCATTGAAGAATAGTCCTATTTCACACGTCATTTATATAACATAGGCACTCACTTCTTTATAACTATATTGGTAAGCATTTCATCAACCTTTGCGTAGCGTATCAGTTATCAAATGTTCATGTTGTGAAAATGTTACATCTTTCAGTACATGGAAGGAGAAAGATTATTTGATACTATGAAGAACGCTTATTCCATTAATGAAGAATTATCTCTATTAAAAAATTCACTTAAGAGAACAATTAAAGTATTTCTCTTTGTAATGTTTGGATATGCTATTTAAAACTGTGAATTAAATTCTTCAGAAAAAATAAAGAAAAGAGCCCCTAAGTTCTCCAGATGGTTCATTTTATTCGAAGAAATTTGCCACTGTCTAAAAGTTCATACTCCTTTTCAGATCAGCACAGCAGCACTTATAAAATTGTTGATTAATAAGCTACTCTCAACGCATCTTTAACTGGTCGTATGTTCTCTTTATGTACAGAAAGAAGGTCTTCAGTGTAATATACTGATAAGAGATCTCAATTTATGTCTGAGAAAGAAGCCATAATTTGATCAAGTAAAACATGAGCGCAACAAATGAGTAAAATTTTAGGGGTAAAATGCCAAAAAAACTACTCAAATTTTGAGATATTTATCCTTTAAGATTAGGATGAAACAGCTGGTTTTTCCTGTGGTGTGCTGACCTGTGCAGTTGCAACTTCTGGGGTGCTGACCTGTGCAGTTGCAACTTCTGGGGTGCTCTCAGCCTGTGTTGGACCACTTGGAATGACTTGGGTTTTTGATAGAGGTTCTCTGGGGGGCATCCAATCTGGTATGATTTTATCGTGAACCCTCCATTTACCGTAAACATTTATAATATGCTTTTCAAACACAACATATTCCAGTACATCTTTCGCCACAACTTCACTTCCATACATTAGTCGACCGAATCTGTCATAAATTGCTAAGGTCTGAAAAAAAATAAAAAAATAATAATTACTTGCAGGATGAGAATGAAAAGTTTGTATTTTTCTTACAATATGAATTTACCTCACATAAAGAACAGTGCAAAATGATCACGAATCAACAATTTTTGAATAACTACATTTGGGCAATAAACTCTGTCATGTCTAGAAACTATTCTCATCAATCACAGTTGGAAAATCTAAGCATGATGCAAATATAGATAAATTGCGGTCATTTTTTAATTTAGTGGTAAAAAATATACAGGAAAGCATATATTTTTTTTTTTTTTTTTTTTTTTTTTTTTTTTTTTTTCAAATACCACACAAGTGGTAATCCTTGCGCTTCCAGTTAGAGCCCCTCCCCCCTCCGTCCCTACCATGTACCAGCCCCAGGCAACCGTTGTTTGAGACCATCAAACTCGGGTCGCCTAGCCGGGAATCGAACCCGGGACCTCCTGATTGTAGAGCCAGCGCTACAACCACTACACCACAGGAGGCCGACAATTTGTGTCAACATTTTGTGTCTAACCAGGTTTACCCTTTGTATGAAATAAAACGGTTTACCGGCCAAATGCCTTTTGGCAAGAGTATACCACCATATAAAGCTTAGTTTATCGTTGTACGTCAGAAAGGATGGAAGAATTTTTTTTCACAGGTGTCTAATAGGGCAAATCACACTCCAAGCCTATTAAAAAGGCAGGGTTAACCTTGCTCAAAGGATGGTTGTCATGACACTGAAAAACAGAGGTCATTATTGGAATCAACACTAAAAATTAACAAATAATTGGTTCAGAACTTGTAGGCAAATCTAGAGAAAAATACAATTTGTCAACAGGTTTTGTTATTATCCGAGAAAACTGATGGTACCGACCTGTTGAGTGTGAAACCGCACTGTTAGTTGAGCAAATATGTTGTTATCAGTGATAGCACTAGTTTCTCGAGCATGAACAACTTTGGGGGCCTCCAAGGATTTGATGAAATTCCAGCGAAATGTTTTATTGTCAATCCCTTCGACCATAGCTCCATAAGCATATTCAGTTACATAGTCCAATAATTTCTCTTTGTCCTTCCTGGATGATACATCAGAGACATGGTAGAAAAATTGCATGGATCATGAGAAAATCTTCACATAAAAATATCCTCTGTATGAGGTGTGCCTCATACTTAAAATAATGGAAAGAAAAAATATTTTTCATTCTACGAAAAAAGCTGTTTCAAGTCTTCCTGGTCATCTTCAGGTGGTCACTATAAACATTTTGTGATTATGCACTGCTAAACTGTGATATATATATTTGTGTACAATGACTTGAAGATGAGATGCAAAGCTTGTGGTTACTATCTACATTGAATAAATACTAATCCCTTCACAGATCTGGCTTACAAGAAAAGGAGCAAGTAAAAGGATCAATATGAGGTCTTACAAAATGCAAACAACTATTAAAGCTGACATCAATAGCTCTTGTTCGAACTAAAAATAACAATACACATCTTTTCAAGTCAAAATTTTTATTTTACAGCTGCATCTTTCACTTCTTTCTTGCGTTTGGAGTCTCTTGACAATCCATTAGCACGATAGTCTTTTTAAAATCAGAAATGGGGACTTGCGAGAGCTCATCAAAGGGTTTTAATTGGAAAAGTCAAGAACCCCAAATACTTTTTACACGAACTCACAAAATAAATTTTAAGGGCCTTAAAGAATGCCTTAAAACCAAACTTTTACCTTCCTACTTACTAGGTAAGTAGTGTTTGCATTTTGTAAGGCCTCATATTGATCCATTTACTTGCTCCTTTTCTTGTAAGCCAGATCTGTGAAGGGATTAGTATTTATTCAATGTAGATAGTAACCACAAGCTTTTTAGCTCATCTTCAAGTCATTGTACACATACAAATAATAGTTTAGCAGTGCATAATCACAAAATGTTTGTAGTGATCACCTGAGGATGACCAGGAAGACTTGAAATAGCTATTGTCATTGAATGAAAAATAACCCTCTGCTACGTTTGTAAATCATTTAAAAATAAAAGAAAAAAGCAGGCACGGACAGAAGTACCAAATTTAGTTAAAATCAAGAATTTCCCAAGATGTGGGGACAATTTATCCCAAAATTAGAAGGTACTCAAAGATTTGAAAGAAAAAAATTCAACCATACCCACAGACTTTTCAAGGTGTCATGAACCCTGCTATTGGAAGTATAATTGGTTGATGGGAAAACGAGAAAAATGATATCTCTGATCCATAAAATAGTTACTTTAAAAAAACATTATTACCCAAGTTTTATTGATTCAACTTGCCCTTAGCTGTTAATCTCAAGAACTGACAGAGCGTTAACTTTTAATCAAAAATCTTAAAAAAACTTACTCCGCTAAAGCTTGGTGTGCCTTGATATAGCAGTCTTGGGCTTCATCAACAAAATTTGGATACAACTCAAATCCATCTTCATATTCTCTTATTTTACGAACAGCTTTCCAACTGTTGGTCTTCTTTTTCAAAAAGGACAATTGTTGTGCAACACCCTAAAACATATTGAAAGTCGGAAAATTAGAAAATTTTAATGGCACGTGGTATAAAGGAGCTACAGAGTCAAGGAGCAATCTTGCTAGGGAATTTTGCAGCTCTATGCAAAAGGCAGGGGAACCTATTTTCATCTAACAAATGGACTGCATTTTGCAATTTGGACCTATAAATTCTGGCTCATCTGAAAAAACACTTATGTGCACAGGGAAATTAATGGCACATACGTTGTTTTTGAACCGGGCCAGAATTTATGGTTCTTAATTGCAAAATGTAGTCCAAATATGATACATAGACCTTAACTGCTGAGCTGATGGATAAGTGCTAATCACAAATGTGAAGGAGGAATGTGCAATGAAGCTTGAGACAACTCTTCAGCAATCTAGAGTTTTAGGAGACAGACTGTTTTTATCAATACCAATACTTGGACCAATTTTGCCTTTAAGGGCAGTAAGACAATAGATAAGCTTGTAGCATTTCATGATGGTGTATCCTTTGGGAAGATTTCATCTCCTTCAAAGTGCCTACGTAATGAGTTTGTTTAGTAATGTTCAATTCCTGTGTTTTTGAAAACTGGAGAGGCAAAAAGTTCACAGGAATTTCCCTGATTTTTATGAACAATATTAACCCACAAAAAACGAGCTCAAAATTGCATATTTAGAGCTCCCATTTAAACACACGTCGGCAGGGCAGTGGAAATGGCCGCCATGAGCGCCTGACTGAGAATGACTACACTGAGCATCTTCCTTCTGCTGCATCCTATAGTTCGCACCTGATCTGCCATGATAGCGAAGAGAGCAGTAAGTGTCAAAATTTCTAGTTTTAGGTAATTGAAATAAAATCGGTCGATTTTTAATCATCCAAGCAATTTCCAGGAGTCTTACGGATGATTGGTGGCAATTTGACAAGGTATGGAGGCTTATTTCAATAAAATTTTCTGGTTAGAAGCTTCTGAGCCCGCTTTCTCAAAACTTCATTTTGGCACTTCCTGCTCTCTTTGCCATCATGGCGACAATCCAGCCCGATGTCCCATAGACCTCGTGCGGACTACAGGTCGCGGTAGAGGTAAGTAGCCGAGTGTGGCCATTCTCCGCCAGGTGCTTAAGGCGGCTATTTTCAGTGACCCGCCGACATGTGTTTAAATGGGAGTGCAAAATACACAACATTGAGCTCATTTTTCGTGGGTTAATATTTTTAAAAAAAAAATCGGGGGTGAAAAAATTCCTGCCAACCCTCTGCACTCTCCAGTTTTCAAAAATGCAGGAATTAAGTATTACTAAATAAGCTCATTATATAAATGGTGCTGAATGAAAATAGAAATAAAAAATAAAAAAAGGGGTAAAATCGTGCAACTTACTTCCTTAGAGAGGACAGAAACTTTTCCATCACCTTCAGGAGGAACATATGATTCAAAAATACTCCTGGTGCACGTTAGAAACATATCTCGCTCTCGCCACGGGCGTGTGGGTTGTATACCTCTTTCCTTGAAAAACGATCTTACTTCTTCTGCTGACATATTTGGGAGATCTTTCATGTCTTTATCTTTATGAAAGTCTGGTAAATCTAATTTTTGGACCTGAAATAGACGAAATCAAGCTCTATTATTTCAACAGGAAGTCATTGGGGAGTTGAGGCACTTAAATAATATTCACTTCTCCTCTCCCTCTTAGAATCGAAAGTTGGAGTATTAGTCCATGAAAGTTGGAGTATTAGTCTTTTTATTTTCATCAATTGCGATATTTGATTACCTATATAGTTTCTTAGTGTCGAATGGTGCGAACTCTACGAGTAATAGGAATTCAGTAACATTTTAGAGATCTTGAGATCGAACAAGATTTAAGTTTGACAATTACCTTGAGTTTGATAGCTCATACAATTTTTAGATCAACTTCACAATTAAAGAGTTTTTGAGGTCAATTTTTTGGAGAAATTTACTCCCAAACATGTTACGACCAAGATTACCAAAAGTTCATTTTTTTTTTCTATGTTGCTTACCCACCTTTTCCCTTTGACAGAGGTTTATTATATTCTGACATAAAACACTTTTTTTAATCTGATCAATACACTATAGTTTTTTGCATTTTTAGAATAGTGTATTTTATTTGTCAGGGGCTAATTATAAAAAAAAATTATTTGTATATACTAAGGTACACACTTGGAAAAAGTTTAGCAGCTGTGAGTTGAAAATGTAAGGTACTGTGCTCTGTAAAAACATAATAGGTGGAGGGCAAAGCGCATTTTTTGGCGTCTGATTATGGTAAAGGCGTTGCCAGCCCTAGCCCTAGTGTTGTTTACATCGTATCAGTACCCAGTCTGCCGATTCTGTTACATTCCTTGATAACCTAACTCCTGGCTACTGCCAGCAAATAATTTGCACACCAATCAGTGTTGAGCCTAAAAATTGGGGGGGCTGGGCCATCATGGCGCCTAAAAAATTTGACAGATTGAACCTGCAATCGGGAAGCAGCGGTAGCGATGAAGAGCTCTCTATACGCACCGTTCGCAGCATCGCTATGGCTTGCATGCAAAACTTTAATTCGGCTCCTTAAAATTGGGCTTTCCGGCCAAGGTGGCGCCTAAAATTTTAGGGGGAAGGCAGAACACTATAACAATTTATTTAGAGTTTAAAAATCCATCTTTAGTAGCGCTGTTTTGGATTTTGCTCCTGTTGCTGGTATGGAATGTATAAAACTGTATGCAAGCATAATGCTACTTAAGTCCAAAAATTAGCTGATGCCATCAGTGTTTGTAAAATTTGTGGTTAGGTACTAATGTGCAACAGACTCTTACTAATATATTTACTTATATTAAAATGTACTTCTCATCAGTACTAGTACCACAGTACCACCTACAGCACAAGCTGGTTGAAATCCACGAAACAAAAAAATGAAAATGAATAAGTAAATTGCCATAAAATCGTTTGCTGGCAGTGGACAGAGTTGAGACCCACAAGAGGTAGGTCCAGAATTCAAGATGGGTGGACCCAAAATTGACACGATGAGCTCAGTTCAGGACCAGCAGCTCCTTGACGAAATATGAAATTGCAAGTATCTCTGTGCCAAACGATAATTCCTTATTGTTTTGCTGTCTAATTCACACATACTTCCCTTTCCTCTATGGAGCCTCCTTTACATCACAGTCTAGAGCCCATGTTGCCTGGTGTTAAACCAGTCATAGCCCATCTATATTCAGATTACTGGTGGGGTCAAAATTACCAGATATCCCACGGTCGATGCTGTTCAGAAATTCAAAAGTAAAAAGTAAGCTCGGAGCTAGATTAAATTTAAATACTTGCCATTGTAAGGATCAGTGACAGAATCTGATTAAAATACATACTGAATAATTGAACTTACTTTGAGGCCTCTTAATTTTTTCCATTTTGGATTCCAATGTTTAGTACTACGAAATCGCACTGGAATTATGGATATCAAGGGAACATTGGGCCTTGCGACAGCCACCTGTAACAATAATGATGGCTGATAGTTATAGATGTAAATATTGTGGGATGATTCCAAATATCTTGTGGCTGATTAGTACATGGTGTCACACTGCGCGGCTCATCTGACTATCAGATGTACACACTTAAGTAAGGGCTTTTTTTTTTATGCGGATCGCGATGAACATCGGTATTTTTTTATTTCGTTCCTCAGCCGTAATCCAAGCGTTCCGAGTGGATCAGGGTGGAATGCTGGATCGCTCTTTCGAGGTGGGGCGAGCTCGCTATCCAATGTGATCCTAACCTAATGCAAGGAACTTGCCGTCCCCAACAAATCAAAATAACAAATCAAACCATATTCCAAGTTTGGATTTTTTTATCACTTGGAACACTTTGGATCGATCCGGATTGCCCAGCATTCCGATTTAGTGCGTTCCACTGCGATCCACCTCGTTTCGTGATAAAAAAAAAGCCCGATACTACTTCCAAAAAAATGTTTCGGGCTTGTGTAGTTCCATTAGCATGAGCTATTCTCAGCTGAAAATTACTTCTTACTTCAGCCGTTAAGTATTGCAAACAGTATGTACTTTCAAGAAAATTATAAGGAAACAGTGATTGTCTTTTGGCCATTCCGGCGTTGTTATCCTTACCTTCAACAAATTTCGGCCGATGATAGACATGCTTACTGTATGGATGCAAATTTTTTGATAGGACCAAAAGTTCTGCCCGGTGAACGGATGTAAAACTATAGTTTACATATCTTCCAAGAAGATGAAGAACACACAGGCGGCTAATATAATCAAATTTGAGGAAATAAACGATTACAAAAAGGTGAAATGAGGTTGTTTTCGATACTTTGTTATGATGGTAGAGGAGAAGAGAGAACATAACCTAGAATATTTAGCATGTTCTTAGCGCTCTCTGTCGTCCGAAAGTGTAATTGCCAAAACAGGCTCTTTGATGTCAACATTCTTCTAACGGCGGATTTTCCGTGACTTTTATTCTAGTTTCCTCCTCGTTTTACGCTAATTTAACAATGGGTTTCCAAAACTTATGGTTCTCTCATCCTCGCAAATACGGCCAAGGCAGCAGATCATGGTAATTATGATTTTCATACCTTCGTTTCGCCGCGAGTTATTCCGCACGGCACACGTGGTTACCTTTGACACCTTCCAATGTCTCAGTTTCAATTTCTGTTTCCCTTTTAAATATCCCGTCTCGCTCCTCCACTCATCATTTTTCTCGTCCTCTCAATCCACACCTGGCGGCTAACACAGCAATCGCTCTGCAGAATCGTTTTCATTCCAACTGGGGCTGTAACTTTCTTATTAGGAAGGTTAGGACACTGACCTCCCGTGAATACATGAAAGGCTTTCTACCAACAGTATTTGTGGTCAAGCCTTGTTGCCCATTTTAAAGACGATGGGGTCCCTTGAATAGTAACTTTCATCCCTTTCCAATCGAAAGTTTTAAACGCATTATGAGTACCCTTTCTTCAACACTCATTCACCTGGCGCTGTAGCGTTCTATTGGTGGAAGCCTGCTGTTTCCCACTTATTCTAAACAACGATGCTAATCACTGTGTGATCTTTCCACTTCATCCATTACACATCTACGCCCTTATATTCGCACTGATGATGCAGAATGGTCAATTCAAATTTGAATCGTCATCTTTCATTAATGTCATTCAGTGAGAATCCGACCAATCATTCGGTATTTGATAACAGCTGTGATGAAAAGAACTAGAGATGGGTGTGAAAGATATGGTGTGCCTGTGGAAGCTGCATAAGAAATAATGTGAAAGTGGGCGTGACTCCTTTTAGTAAAATGGGAAAGCGGAAATTTTAATAATTAAGTAGGAACTAAATGACAAAATATGGTAAATCATGAGCCAAGGGCATGCAACAAGAACATTGTGGCCTCGTCTCATGAGTTACATATCCCGGGCTGTCGTCCCCAGTCCCAATCATTGAAGCTGATATCACTGGTGCTCTTTATTTCTCATTGCCCTGAATTGATACGCACATTCCTTTTTTCTCACCCGTCTCCGGTTCCTTTTAACATAAATACGTCCATCCAACCATTTTTCACTGATTGCTCCCCTATCAGGACAGTCTGTGTGCATTGTGCATTAACAATCAAAGGCGGCATTTTCTATTAAGGCATTAACATTGCTATGTTAGTAAGATTGTGCAACCTTTACGTTCCAGTGCAATAAATTGACTGGAAATAGATCGATTAATTTAATTTTTAAGGGTAATTTCTTCATTTAATCAACATTTCATTGGTGCACAATTAGGAACTGTCCACTAGATTTATCTTTCAAGATTAAAGAAAATTGATTGATCACAGCTATCTGTTAGAAAATTAAGTGGGCGAGAACTGTACTGCTGATTAATTTTTTATTTTGTAAGATTAATTCCAATTTCAATCTTTCTATTGAGTATTTAGAAAATCTCTTATCTGTTTACTTAACGTATCGTCTGATTTCTTTTAATCTCTTTTTTCAGCCGAGCCTGTGCCAATGGCCATGGTCTGATCAGGAAGTATGGCCTGTACTTATGCAGACAGTGCTTCAGGGAGTACTCTCACGAAATTGGATTTAAGAAGGTAAGCAATTACCTCTATTCTTTCTGCTCCAGGAGTTTACATGACTAGCATCCCAGCTGGAAGTGATACCTAATTCACATTTTGCACAGGAAATTAAAAAACTCCCTTGAAAAAATGTATTCTTGGTCCATTGAACAAATATCAAACAGATTCAGACACTGTTTACTCCATGGCACTATGACTTCGCCTCAACTTTTCGAAAATTACTACCAATATATGGAGTGAACAAATTACGAGTAATCCTAAAACTTAGGGTTTAAGTACTCTCTTAAAATCTCAAAATTTAAAAACTGTTTTCTTTTCAATTTTGTCTCTGATTTTTGATCTGTCATAGATCAAATGCCTATCTCATCATTGTTGAGTGATCAACAGCATCTAGCAATGATTTTCGTCTACATGTTCCAATGCATTTTCTTTTAAATTGTTGAGTTTTCTGCATTGAAGAGTACCCTCTCTTTAAAACCAGAAGACCAGCAACTACTCGCCTAGTCTGTTTCAGATAACTTTTCCCATTTCAGTGAAAACACACCAACCAGATTGGGAACTTGAATCAAAAAAATATTTACATTTTTTGGCAATTCACGGTTTTTAACTTTGCGCTTAAGAAGGTTAAGGCTGCCCATGAGCCTCCTCTTGTCAGATGCCCCCCTCTTCTGCATAGATTGTTCAATAGCATGGCAGCACTGTAACTTTCATGCATGCTGTCATTTGGCATGGCATTACTTGATCAATTCCATAGAAGCATCTTTGGCAACAATCGACCGAACCTTGCTTTAGAGAACCTAGAGGAAACCTTGAGACAGGAAATGTGCCTGTCGCTCTTGCGTATGCTTTCATTTTCTTGGAGACAAAAATATTACAGAATTTCTCATTTATTTTGTTTCTATCAGCAGTAGGCAGTGTTCGAAACTCACCTTTGAGTTTTAGGAGCCATGTGGCGCATCAAGCCCGATTTTTAGGCGCCATTGAAGATTTTTTAGGGGCCAAATTGACTTTTTGCCTATAAATTATGGCGCATTTAGTGAGAAGTTAGACGCAATTTGTTTTTGAACAGAAATAGTAAGTAGCTGTAACTTGGGGAAGACAAATGCACAAATGATGAAATCGTGAAGAATAGAAAAAGCTTTCACTTGTAGTGCTGAAAATTTCGATTAATCACTGAATATGAAAATTCAGATTTTTAGGGGCTATGTTGGCGCAGAGCCTTCATTTTTTAGGCGCCATGGCTGATTTTTTAGGCTTGTTGGTGCCTGTGAGTTTCGAACACTAGCAGTAGGTAAAGAAAACATTAATTGTTTTATAAAATCCTTGTTTCCTATTTTAGGAGGTGGGATATAAAAATATTAAAACTAATGAAATAAAAAGGCAGTTATTGTTTCCTACAGTGTTCCCTCTTAATGTGGTACTAAACCATTTCGCGGGGAAATCAAAGCCAAGGAGTTTCAAAAATCAAAATTAGAGTCAAAATTATTGTTGAGCTCTAATGCGCACCAGTACGAAACTGAGGGAGGAGAGTGTTCAGCTCAGGCAGTTTGCATAGGAATATTAATGTATTATACTCTCCTCCCTCAGTTTCGTACTGGTGCGCATTAGAGCTCAAAAATAATTATGACTCTAATTTTAATTTTTGGAACTCCTTGGCTTTGATTTCCCTGCGAAATGGTGTGGACCCAGCACCATTTCTCCACTTTGTTACATACAGTTTCGGGCCACTTCTTAGTGTTTTTTTTTTTTTCTTCTTCTTGTGTAGTACTAAATAGGTAATTGAATCTGATTCCAATTGGTCTTTTTCTTGTTTCTGTTTCAGCTTGATTAAATCTATCATCAATGGCTACTAAATTCCTAATCGAAACTTTTTCCTCCTCTGTCTATGACCCCTCTTGTAATGTAAGTTTGTAAGTCATGTTGATCTTTTAAAATGTTTTTTAACAAAATAAATGGGCTGACTCTTCTGGCTACACTCAGTTCTCACTTAATTCAATCCTACCAAGTCTTAACTTCTTAAACTTTTGGTATTCTAGGTATTCTTTGATGATTATTCTCATTGAAGTAAGAAAGTAAAAAAGCAGTAGTTAATTCTCTTGTTTCAGCAGCACAACCATATGGGCAGAAAGCTCCACCCTTTCCTACCAAATTAAATTGTGTTCTTTTATTTGTCTCCTATGAAAGTAGGTAGAGTCCATCCATCAATGGGCCCTCTTTTTTGTAGAGCAACAAGGTCCAATCATGAACATATTTCAACATGTCATTCTTTCTAGAAATTGGCAAGGCTGCTTACATATATTTTCTGTAACGTAAAAGCAGATGGATGCACATTCTATTTTTTCCCCATCAGGTGAAATTGTGCTAATCATCGGTAAATACTCATGTTAAAATAATCTGGTATCCAAATTATATCAATTCATTTTATGGAAAACAGGGAAAGAGAAGAGGGATCATTATAAAAGAAAATAATTTATTCACAGTTCAATTTTGAGCTTTTTTTACAACTTAGGAAGGTGCACTGCTGAAGTAAACTTACGTACTTGCTACAATTCAGAAATTCCATTTACTAAATGTGACTCAATGGACTTAACGACCTGTTGAAATTGTTCAGGGTTGTGTTGAAATGTTCAACATTCATGAATAAGCATGTAAGTCATCAGGCAATACCAATGAGGTTATGACAAGCGCTATTCGGCATTGGATAATTCTATTTTCAAACAGTGCCTACCAATGTCAGTCAGCACTGTTTTACACATGCACACTGAGTTTTACTTCAGCAGGACGTACAGAGCTTGTATAATATTTTTTTTTTACATACAAACCTTAACTAATTTGCTTGTAATATTACAATTAAATACACTACGTACAACTATTTACAATGAGAGAGGTTTCTGTTCCTCCCTTGAATGAAGTAAGATCAGAATGTTGTATCTGTAATTCATATCATATTCGCCCATCACTCGGAAGGACTGTCCCTGTTTTTATGGATAATCCATTTCTAAAGCTCTGTGATCTAACCAAGTCAAACATCAAGTTGCGCAAACATTTTATAGGATTAAATTGCAACTCTCACTAATAAGTTTTGTCTTTGTTTGAGTTTCAAATAGAAATTATTTACAGTCCTGAAAGGAGAAAAAATGAGAATAATTTCAAAATGCATCAATAGTGACCGGCAAGCACTTTATCCTTTGGGATGCAGACGTGTGACCAAAATGAGCATACATTTCTCATACAAGGCTTCTAATTAGACTACATTTTGCAATTAGGATCTAAAATGTCTAGCTCATCCGTAAAAACACATACGTGCATAGGGAAACTAATGGCACATTTGTTGTTCCTAAACTGAGCCAGAAATTGTAGTTCCTAATTGGATCGGGACGCACATTTTTTCAAATGTCTTAAAGGGAGCTGTGAGCTCTGCTGATCTATGTTCCACAATGTAGTTCTTTACACCTCTGAGATCCAAAAATTTTAGGCATGTTCTGTCTGGCACACAGAGAATATTTCTCAACCAAACCAACGTCTATTTCTTCCTTGCTGTAGAAAAAGAAAAAAAAAACGAAAAATAAACAACAGATTAAAATGACAACCAGAGGAAAGGAATTAAAATGTGTGAGATAACCACCCGACGAGCCAGGTTGGTACAGGCAATTAATTTGAATGTTGGGTCTCCTTTTTCAATAATTGGAAAGATACAAACTTCATTGAAGTTAGTTCATAGCACCTTGATGTGAGGGAAAAATTTCAAAAGATATGAAACTAACTTAGAATGAAATATTCCCCTTAACTGAGAAAGGAGATTTGCGCACTTATCTGTGTGCCTGTTTTTAAACATAATATAATTTATCTTTACCCTTAAAAAGTTTAAAGTTCGGAAGAAAACTGATCCTTTCAAGTAGGTAAGTATTGACTTTAAAGCCTTCTGATTTTCAGATTTTGCCTTTTTTTCCGTGTATGTAGAATTTTGAATGAGAAAGAGTAGTTAACCTTCGAAAGACACTTCACATCAACTGCACTTACCGGAGTAGCTGATGAAATTAAAGCCAGAAGTGATTTCTTTGGTGGTCGGCAAACTTTTCGGTCACCCTCTTGACAACACAAATTTGGGAAACAGTCAAAAGTTGTGCGACACAACTTTGGGTAGAGATCATATTTCTTAGGCAAAGGAGGCGTACATTGCATGTAAGCTACTGCCGATTGAAGGGCTGGAAAAACAAGTTAAGAATTTCCTCGGGAAATCAGCCAAATACACAAATACCATTAATAATTGCAGGAAACATGTTCGATCAAAACTCTTTAAAAATACCTCAAGTTCAATTCATCAGTTATCTTTCATCAATTAGTTATAGCTCGTTTCATGAATTCGGCTTGTCATTTTTACCTATCTTTTCTCTATTATTTTCATATTTATGTACTCTCTTAGTGCAGGGATTTGAGTGTCGCCAATTTACTTTACCATTTTCTTTCAAGACTCAGTTCCAACATTATTTTTATTCATCATATAATTTAATTTTGCATACAAGAACCTGACCACTTGGTACCCAGAGTAATTAAACCTTCGAGGATTTTTAAAAAATTTCTTAGATCGTGACTGTTCTTAGGGAACAAAGTCATACTCTATGGATGGGCTAAAACACTTCCTCTGAAGTTCAGAAGAAATTATTTTATCAAGTCGGGTTGAAAAATTGAAACTAGTGTTTTGGACGGAGGCCGTTTTTAATTTTTCCAAAGGAAAAGTTGCGATCTATCTAGTTCATTTTTGTGCCAATAGAAGGTGTCAAATTGCATTTTGAGCTGCATTTATGAGCTTTTTCTCAAAAATACTTTATTTAGACTGCAAAGTTTATACCATCATAAGTCTGGTTTGGTTCAAAATTTTTTATCTTTTCTCATATGGAAATACTTGGAAAACATTTTTTTCAGCAGATCTAATTGCTAAATTTTGAGTTGTCCATCGTCAAGGTCCATTATCCTTTGAATGGTCACTAACATAGAATATTGCAATGTACCATTAGGATAGCAAACTTACAAACTAAAGTGCTGTGAATCCACTCGAAGTTTGATCCTGTTCGGATGTATGAAATATTAGATTACCTACTTTTAGGACCTCATAAAGAATTTTTAGGGTGCCAGCAGTAGGTATGGAAAACCGGAAAAGTCAGGGCTTGCGGCGATCGGGGAAGTCAAGGAATTTAATGCGTTCTGCAGAAGTGAGTAAAATTTACAGGAAAAAATCTAAGTTGAAGTTTTATTCGAATGTCAGGGAATCGGACAACTTAAGAGTCATTGGATCGCATTCAGGAAAAAGGATCCAGCGCCATTACAGCAGAAGTGAGTGTTTTCAATCGTGCAAATTCTTCTTTACTTTTAGTAATACTTATTAAATATACAGTATTTAAATCTACTCAATTATTTTCCTTTAAAATTAACAAATTTTTTGATGGTAAGCAAAAACAATATGCTACCCAGGAAGATTTCTTGGATAATTCTGAAGATGTGAAACTTTTAAAACACTGTAATTGCGCTGGTTCCTTATTGCTGAATGCTATCCATTTGTATTTCATCCAACATGGATTGCACTTGGCAAAAAGGAACCAGCGCGATTACAGTGTTTTCAAATTCACGCAACTTTTTGTTTTCTTTTGAAAATACTTATCAATGTTCAGTATTCAATTTTACACAATTATTTTTTTTAAAAAAAATTAACAATTTTTTTTAAAAAAGTTAACCATTTTTTGGTGACAGAAAAAACTATTTGCTATTCCAGAAGATTTTCTAGATAACTATGAAGAAGCAACATATTTACAACATTGTAATGACGCTATGGTTCCTTTTTGTTAAATGCAATCCAAATGTTGAGGGCGATTTCCAACCTCTCAAACTTACGTGTGGATATTGCCTTGGGAGCAGGGAGTTTTTCCCAAAGGGGCAAGGGTGTTCGGCAGTACCGATGTGACAGATCCTCACTCTTGCAGCAAATTCGAGGCCAGCACTCCCTATCGCTCACGCATTTTTGAACTGGGAACACTTCTGGAAGCGGATCCGTCGGACAGTCTCGCGGAATGAAACCTAAACCCGCTGAAACAAAAAAAAAATATTAAGATTACTTAACACAAAACTTTCATCTAATGTCATTTAACTTTCTCATCCCATAATCTTTTGTTTTAAGAGATTATTTCTCGTGAGATCGTAAATCAGGGTGTCTACAAGTCCGGAAATAGTACTGATTTTTCTAGGGCGGTCCGGAAGTGCTGTCCAAGAGCGGTAATTTCGCAAGACAGTCCGGAATTTTTTTCATTTTTGTCGCAATTTGAGCGGGAAATTCAAATTTTTGAAATTTCTCGAATTACGTCAGTTGAAGGAATTTTTCTCTTGAGGAGGCGCTGAATTTCTTGGGAATGTGCCGAGAAAAGTACTATAAAAGAACTGATTTTTGGCCAGCCTGTTCTAGTAGACACCCTGTAAATGAAATTTGTCAAAAAAGAAAACAACAAAAAATTCAAATACTTCTTACGTGCGTGTGTCGAAGATGTCGTTGGGAAGCTGAACTTATCAAATTCATCGTCTGGATAGTATCGTTCTGTCTCTGTTTCAACTGAAAAATTTTAAAGAAGGGAGGACGAATATTAATTATAATTATCATCTAATTAGGACTAAAAATTTAAGCAACGGTTAGTGCTAGTTACAGACGAAAAACGTAATTTCCAACCGAAGGCTCGCGAAGATGCGAGAATTTTGAGCTTCTTTAGAAACGCCTTCATTTTCGCGTGATGCAGAAAATTGTACTGCTAAGCTAGCGTTATTGCCCACTCAAGTCATGCTTTCGCCCATCCGATCTGAGTGAAGAATTTCAACATATTTTAATTTTTTTGCCCCCTTAAAGCTAACGATAAGAAAAAGGGAACCTCAAGTCAAAAACTGAAATTTTGATGCTGCAAAGTTACAAAATTTGATAGTGTGAAGCAAAATGAAGGCAAAGGACTATGTTTCTTCTACCGTTAATTCGAAACTCGACCATGTAAAAAATGCAGCAGGATTACCGGCCGCGATCTGGAAAAGTTAGGGAAAGTCAGGTAATTTACATAAAAAGCGGGGGACTTAAATGTGTTACGCGTTTAGCAGAGGTGAGTGATTTAAATGAAACAAATAAAAAGTGAAAGTTATTTATTCCAACGTCAAGAAATCCGAAAATTTTGTTGTCATGGAAACGCAAAAATAGCCAGGGAAAGTCGGGGAATTTGGAAATGCAGAAATTATGGCAACCCTGTTAAAATGTTTTTTCGGATTCGTTGGAAATTGTGAGAAAAACCAGAAAAGCCCTCCGAAAATTTTAAGAAACAATTCATAAGTTTTATTTTTTTTTTTTTAAAAAAAAAAAAAAAAATCCTACTTGATCGAAGAAACCTTGCCAACATTTTACATGTTCGCACGCGGCGTTCCTCCTCAGTTATTTTTTGTTCTCTGCCATACCGCCGTGCTAAGGAAAAACGCCGTATGAACATTCGAGAGTTGCCGAATTTCCTCCGATAACGTTTTCATTTTCGAGGAAAGCTATGAATATTTTTCATCGAAATTTTCGGACACTCCAGATCAACTAACGAACAAAATTCTCCGAAAAACTGGAAGAAAAATATTCACACATTTCCCCGGATATCAATAATCTGTCAGAGGAAATTTGGCAACGTCTGATGGCTCATACGGTGTTTTTCCGTAGCAACCCTTGCGTTGATTGCCCCTTCAGCGTCGGCAAGAGGCATCATCGAGTGTCTAATCAAAGAGCTCCGACGCCACTTAATTAATCTCGAGAAAAAAATGAAGTCTGAATGGGTCAGGGCTGGAAGGCACATCGCTCCCGTGTACTTACTCGGATTCGTTGAGGTGGGTGTGGTTGTCATGAATTGATCGCCCCTATCTGTGATCGGCGCCTCCGTGTTTGGCTCACCTGGAATTGTTTGTACAAAGATATTATAAATTGAATGAACGAATACGAAAGGCTGATCCTATCAGTTCGTCCAACTTTCGCGCGTGTTGCCAATCTATGCAGAACTCTGCCGTGCCAAGGAAGAACGCCGTATGAGCCTTCAGACGTTGCCGAATTTCCTTCGATAAAAACCGAAATTACAGGGAAAATTGTGAATATTTATTTCCAAAATTTTTAGACGATTTCGTACGCAATTTAATCTAAAATATGTGAAAATTGCAAAGAGAAATGTGCACGAATGTCGTCAAAAATGCGTGTTTTATCCGGAGAGATTTGGCAACTCTCGAATGTTCATACGGCGTTCTTCCTTAGCACGGCAGAACTCGTGTCGAATCGTGGCCCACCTTGAAAATCGTCCCATCGACCTTTTGGTAGCGCGGGACGAAGCCGTGAAGCTGAATTTTGTCGGTACGGGAATGGAACATCCTCCGATGATCCGAAACTGCGCCGCTGCACGGTGGGTCGAGTCAGTAGGAGAGGTCGGACAAAATTTGGAACCTTTAAAAGCTCATAACTACTTCGATTATTCAAACTTTGAGGTTCTAAAAGTGGTTCCATTGGTTTCCTCGTAAAATTTTCTGTTGGGAGCATTCCTTGATATTTAAAACGTGGCGATTTAAATATCAAAATTTGCAGTTTTAGTCAAAAACTTCATGTCCGACCTGTCTGATTGACTCGATTCACTGAGCGCCAGCCGATCAGAGATCCTAGAACATACTTAAGTATAGTATCGACTCATCTTAAAAGGAAACGGAAGGGCACCTGTTTTTTCTATCAAAATTCGGAGTGGCATCTTGTGAGGAAGGACGATCTTGTATGAGCACATAGACGTTGCAAAAATTGCTCTGATTAGAATTGTTTATTTTGGAGATAAGTTATGTGAATGCTTTTTCTTGAAATTTTCAGATGCACCAAGTAAAATTGCTAGTGGAGTTTTCAACAAATTTCAAAGAAAATGTTAAAAACATTTTTCAGAAATAAGAATTTTACCCTCTAAAAATCGTGTCAATTTCCTGATATTCATGCAGTCTTTTCTCTCTTAGCTTGGTGCAAATGAAAATTCGGGATTCGGTAGGGAACGAAAACTTTCCGGAAAATTCAGGAAATTTTAAAATCCCAAAAATACAGTTACGCATAGTTCCACTTAATATCTCGTCACCTTCCAGGCAAAGTATCACAAGCACCATGCGACGTTTAAAAATTTCCGCCGTCATTTTATTTTTTTACAGAGAAATTGTTCAACGAAGCTGTCCGAAAATTTCACTGAATTTTTTTTGTGCTGCCGATAAAATTTAGTGAAATTTCCAAACAGATTCAACCAACAATTTCTCAGTAAAAAAATAAAATGACGGCGGAAATTTTTAAACGTCGCATGGCGCTTGTGATACTTTGCCTGGAAGGTGACGATCTGTGTAATGAACAAGAGAGGTTTTTTTTTTCCAACTCTCTGTGCTCGAAAATATTTTTCACGGTAAATTTTACGACGGAGCTATAGGTAAAGTCACGTAGCCAGATGCAACTATTTGTACTTCATGACTCTTCTCTTGCGCACACCAGGAAGTATAAGCTTACAATTGAAGGCGTTTTTCTAGGTGCCTGCGCCCGCACCTGCAAGCCAGTGCCGCGCAGGAAGGATAAATAGCTTTTCTATCTTTAAAAACACATTTCTTGCATTCTAGAATATTCCTTTTCCTAATTGCTTGAAGTTTTTCTTATGTTCGGAGGCCGCCTTGTCTATCCAAAAACAAGAGGAAACGTCACGTTTAAGTCGAACGAAAACAAACCGAGGACTTCTGCATGTCCGTGTGAAATACTAGAGACAGTGAGAGCAGTCATGGGGTCCAATTGGACGTATTTCTGCCTAACGGAACTATGTGCATTATGCCGTGAGCCCCGTTATGCATATATTCTAATGGGAATCAGGGCTCATGTCTTAATGCACAGTTCCGTTTGGCAGAAACACGTCCAATTGTGACTCACCGGAGTTGTTGTCTCCGAGCACAGAGCTCCCGTGTTTTGTGTTTTCTGTCCGGTCGCGGCTGGCCAAAGAGTGCTAAAATATTCAGACACGGCCAGCTCAAAGCTGCTTCTTCTCTTTTCCATCTCTTTTCCCTCTCAAATTTTCAAACTATTCGAGCTCTTGGCTTTCTGTGAAGGTAGACTGACTGAGCTCCGCATATCGCCCACGTTTCGATATTTTCTAGAACGAGTGATATTTGGGGCTAATTTTAGTCCGTGGTTTAATAACTGTGTTCACATTCATCTAAAAAATCACGACTTGAAATTTTGACCCATTGTTTTTGAGGGTAGGAGTAGGTACTATCAAATGATCAGAACCGAAAATAAATATACGTAATTTTGACTACTTAGTTTTTGAAGCGGGAAGTCCAGAGTCCCTTCAATTAGTGACCAGGCAACAGACACTACACTCCGATACAGTTGCAATCACTTCTCTGTTCTCGCACTTTATCGCAACCTCGCGAGTTACGATTTTTAAGTACATAAGCTAAGGTTCGGAACAGACCCTATAACAAGCTTTCACCTTAAGTCTCATTTTTCTATACTCCATGATAATATTTGAACTATGCTTAAGGATCCATGTAATTTAAATCGAATGCAAAGGAACTAAGTGCGTAGGATTTATTTAAAAGCTCCTTTTAGCACAAATTCGACCAATTTTTAAGTGAGGAAACGGCAATGCAGAGGAACGAAAACATGACTCGAATGTCCTCGTGTAAGCTCGTGCGAAATAACATCGCTTGTTTCACGTAAAGGCGTATCTCGATATCCGCATGAACCCCAAGGTGCACGGATTTATGTATAAAACAGGGCTCACGTATTAATCGAGATCCGCTCTTTCATCAGAGGGGCGACGATAATAGAGACACGATGGTTGCATCGGATTCGTTGTCGGAGACGGTGACGAGGCGTGAACGGTCGATTATCGATTTTTCCCCATTCGAAGCTATGGTAAATAATCGATTATCATGGTGTTCCCTGTTTATCGATTTTATTCTGTAGGTTTAAATGGCAGATACATCGATGTATCGCAAAGCACGCTTCACCGCTGGTCGGAGGCACGGCACAGAGCTCCCGTTCATGTTTCCGTTGGTCCAGCGCGTCGCCTTGTGTCTCGTTTGTCGAAAAGTGCTAAAATATTCATACTCATCGCGAGCCCCAAGCGGAAGGGGGGGGGGGGCATAAACGGCTACGGGCGCCTGGGCGGCATTTCGATAGTGAAACTACCAAACCACGTATCTCGGGTTGCGGCGTCGCAGGGTTCCTGTTATACTGTCTGGTTTAAATGGAGTCTTCTCAACTTCAATTCTTAAAAACCCTCTTGATTTTTCTCTTCTTTGCACTGGGAAAAAACACATTGGATCTAGAGTCCAGACTCTTAACATTAACAAGAAAAAGTACTCTTGATTCAATCGGATTTTTGCTTAAATCAAGAACCAAGCCTCTTAATTTGAATGGATTTCCTTTTGATTTAAGCAAAAATCTGATTGAATCAAGAGTACTTTTTCTTTTCAATGTTATCAAGAGTTTGGACTCTGGATCCAATGTGTTTTTTTTCCAGTGTTGCGAAAAAAAATTCTGGAAAATTTCAAGGAGAGATAATAATTTGCTCTTCTTTTAAAAAATGAAACAGGAGTGGAGATTTCGAAACACCGCAAACGAGATGCGTGGTTTTGGATTTTCACCGTCGATTTGCATAAATTTTCAGTTCACGGCGGCCTCGGCCTCTAAGCGCCATTTAGCCACGAACATCACCAATTCGCTTTAACATCCCGATCTGACGAAATAACTGCAGCGGTGCGGCGCCACCCGCACGTCGTTGACGTCGAAGGTGCACCACGGTTTCTATCATAGCACGATTGGGCAACGTTACTTCGGATTTTGATCCAATGTTTCTCTATCTTTGGCTCACTGTGCCCGTGTATTCAGCAATTATTCAGCGATGCTAAATTTGAATATGCTCGAAAAAGCTTGAAATTGATTGAATTCGACAGGGCTTTCCTTATTCATTTCATTTGCCTAACCGTAAGTTGAATGCATCTTCATCACCGCATTGATCCTACTCAGAGCCCGCAGATATATTAATGTACTGCCGTGTTTAGTAAAAACGCCGCATGAGCATTCGAATGTTGCCAAATTTCCTCTCAAAAATATTAATTTTTGAAGAAAGATATGAATATTTTTCCCTGACATTTTCAGACTTCATACGTACATCAATTTACGCATGAACACCCTTGAAAAATCGCGTAAGATATATTCACAACTTTTTCTGTTTGCAATGAAGATGTTGCATGTGTGAGGAATTTGCGATTTGACTGTTGATTCTTTTGTAAAAGCTCGCGAGAAACACGATGGTGCCACTGGTTTACAGCATTACACGAGCGAAACACGAACGTGACGATATGCCGCAAAGACAACGCCTGGGATGCAACTATTCGAGCTCCATGGATGCGCGTGTTGCATGTTCAATAGCTGAAGGCGCTCTAGCTTTCTTAACGCCTCTGTCTCGCTCTCTTTCTAAATGCCAACGCCTAGATGCAATGGAGATGTTGAATGTGTGAGGAATTTGCGATTTGATTATTGATTCTTGTGTAAAAGTTCGCGAGAAACACGATGGTGCCACTGGTTCTCTCTGAAATCAACTCCCAAGCTCAAAAAAAGCTCTCAAGTTGAGGCCAAAATGGAGGGGATATCCCACGTTATCCGGAGAGTCCACCTCTATATCAATACAAACTCTCCATGTAAAGATAGGGAGCAAATCCATTGACAGGGCTGCCACTTTATTTGGGGACTCCAAAACTGAAAACACGGCATCCCTCTGAATGTATTTGCTCCCTATATTTGCATGGAGAGTTTGTCTTGATGTAGATGTGGACTCTCGGGATAGCGTGGGATATCCCCTCCATTTTGGCCTCAACTTGAGAATTTTTTTCGAGCTTGAG